CCGACCGCACTTTGCCGCGACCTCACCTCACCTCGCCTCACCTCATCTAAGCCCACTGCTGCAGCAACGTCTGGCTTCGTCTGTCCTTATCGCAACCTCCTCGTCCCCTTCCTCCTCCCCCTCCCTGATCCCCTGCCTCGTACACACTTCCATCCCCTTCTGGCTGCGGCCCCCTTTCTGAGAGCCGCATGCAGCCCATGTCGCCAGTTGATCCTGTGTGTGTGTGCGTGTGTATGTATGTGTATGTGCTCCTTCCACACGGTTACCCCGCGTCCCCGCCCGCCCGCTGGCCCCCTTTCCATGGCCCACCTCCAGCCCCTCCGCAGTGGCCCGTATGCTCCACAACGCCGCCGCCATCAGCAGCGCTACTGCCGCCTTGGACAGCCCCAGGTACTCCTCGACGATGATACCACAGTAACCCGCCAGGAACATGCAAGACATGGCCAGCTCCTGAAGCGGGATTTAGGGGTTGGGTTGGGGTTGTTGGCCGAGGGCGGAGGGGCACAGGGAGCCACAAGTTACGGAGGTCAAATACGGACAACTGCCCCGAGATCTAAAGCACCAACCGATTTGGGTGGTTAGGGGGGAAGGGCAAACACCCAAGGGGGTGCGGGAGGGGGACGGAAGGACGAAAACGTGGTGCCCAGGTGCAATACACACAACGAGAGACGGACTTCAACAATACCAGACCACGCGCAACACATGTGCTGCCTACCTGGCCCTCGGATGTACATCTTACCTATATGACTTACAGATCATGGGTGGTCACCTACCCACGATAGACCATGAAGGATAGTCACGAAACCGCATATGGAATCCTCCACCCACCCGCACCTAAAACACCCGCTACCACCCACCCGCTACCACCCACCCGCTACCACCCACCCGCTACCACCCACCCGCTACCACCCACCCGCTACCACCCACCCGCTACCACCCACCCGCTACCACCCACCTGGTGTGCCCCTATCCAGTCTTTATTCAGCTCCGTGGCCAGTGCCAGAGCCGCCACAACCCCGCACACCCCCACCAGGCGTGAGGCGTCCTGCTGGTCCTCAGCTGGACTGCGCGGGACGGGGGGACCCGGCTCCAGGGATTGCAGGTAGTCGTTGGAGGGAAGCAGCGTTGAAGAGGAGGAACAGGAGGAGGGAGGCGAGGAGGTGGAGGTGGATGAGGTCGCGGCGTCGGGGGAGGTCGTAGCCGCAGCTGTAGTCGTAGCTGTAGCCGTAACCGGAATTGTGGCGTTTGGGTTGATGTTGATGGCCGTGGTGATGCCTATCGTAGGGTCGTGCTTTGGAGAGGGCTGCGTTGGGTAGGGTAAGGTAGGGTAGGGTTTAAGGGTTTTAGGGTGGGGCAGGTTGTAAGGGATTTGTGTTCGTTACCGAGTACGTATGGTTTGTCTTTGATCGGTACGACTCTGTGTCGTGCAAGGCTTTGCCAGACTATTTAAGGCATTCCTACACCATTATTTGTAAGCTTAGTATTCTTCTCTTCCTTGTCTCTCAGTCAGCGTTTGATGTCGGGCTCTGCAGATCGGGCAAGTTAGGAACTAATGCTTCCTCCAGTCGCCAACTGGAGCCAGTTCCTTTCATATGGTATCGAGTTATGGTTCAATCCTGCCTCGGTCCGTATTGGAGCTGTTTTCCCATCGTCACTGCTTTTGCACTTCGCGCCACCGCACGATCGTTTGTTTGCCGCACGATCGTTTGTTTGTCACGTTCGTCGACATGTTCTCCAAACAAGCCCACTTCGTACCCACCAACAAATCAGCTACAGCCCGCGATATCGCCCTCCTTGCCATCTCCAACATCTATCGTCTTCATGGCCTCCCCACCACCATCGTCTCCGACCGCGACCCCCGCTTCACAGCCGACATCTGGCGCACCTTTTGGGAACATTTAGGCACTTCCCTCAACCTTTCCTCCGCTTACCATCCGCAAACCGATGGTCAAACTGAACGTACCCATCGCACCATCGAGCAAATCCTTCGTGCTTACGTTCAGCCCATGCAAGATTCCTGGGCTGCCTACCTGCCCATCGCCGAAGCTGCCTACAACAACACTCCCCACGCCAGCACCGGCACCACCCCATTTTACGCCAACTACGGTTTCCATCCCACCACCCCCGCCACGATTAACACCCCCCCTTCCAAACCCGCACACACCGCCGCCGCTGATCTCCATGCCCACATCCGTGACATTCATTCTACCATCACCGCCGAACTCGAAGCAGCTAAAGTTCGATACGCTGCCGCCGCCAACCAACACCGCCGCAACCTCACCTTCCAAGTTGGCGACCGTGTTCGCCTCTCCACCACTAACCTCACCTTACCCGACTACCCCTCCGCAAAACTCCGACCTCGCTACATCGGCCCTTTTACCATTAGTGCAGTCATTTCCCCCGTCGCTTACCGCCTCCAACTTCCACCTACCCTCGGTCGCATCCATCCCGTTTTTCACGTCTCCCGCCTGCTTCCGTGGACGGACAACGATCCTACGCTCTTCCCCAACCGTCCTCCAGCTCCGCCCGCCGTGCCCATCACACTGGAGTCACCGTACGACCACGCCGACACTATCGTTACTGCAGTTCGCCTAGGTTATAACCGTCGTGGTCGGCCGTCCGTCATGTTCCTAGTTCAGTGGTCTACCGCCAGTGGCCGTGACGCGTCCTGGGAACCGTATGATGACGTACGCAGCCTTCCAGCACTTCGTGCCTTCCTGGCGACCCCAGCCTGGACCGCGTTTAAGCTGTCAGACCGCTATGCCTGGTTCAGAGCGAAGTTTCCGGAACGGGCCCCGAGGATAGTGCACTTCATGACAACCTAGCGCTCCGCATAGGATGTGTGTTGTGTGTGACTCGTGTCCTGTGTGTTTTCAGTTTTGGGTTATTTCGCCTCAGTTTTGCGCGTGTCGTGTCTTGACTTCTGTTTTTTTCGGGGTATTGCGTGTTGCATGTTGTGTACTTTCGTGCTTTCTTGCGTTATTTTGCCATCCACCGAGTTTGCTTTTCTGTGCCTTAGGCTTATGATTTGCGTACTCTTTGTGGATGTTTCTGGACACGTTCGTTTGGTCGTAGACCGGTTCCTTAGACCGGTAGATATAGGTGTCGTGCGCCTTATTTAGGCCGGTATCCAGTGCGGGGAAGGTTTTGCCTTGACTCCGGTTCCCTTTTGCCTTCCCCTCGTTAGCCTGGTACCGATTTCGTTCAGGGAATCGGAGCGGCGCACGACTTAGCATAGTTTGTACTTTGGTCGCATCGAGGCCGATGCTTGAGCTAAGCAGGGGGGCATGTTAGGTTTTCTTGTTAGTTGTTAAGTCGTTAACTTTACTCGTGGACGATCATTTGAGATATGGATAATGTACGACCTTCCGGCGCCGCCTAGGCTCTGGATAACTATTTAAGTCGTTGTTGTTGTTTAGTTTGTTATGTCATCATTGTTACATCTTGTAGGTTGTTAGCTGGCTTAAGTCGCTCGGCCCTCTTTGTAATCATCGTGGCATCCCAACGAGAAACGGAGCCCATTCCCTTTCACAGGTTATGTGGGCGGGGAGGAGGGTTGTTGCGAGCGTTCGGTGCTGGGCGGTGGGCCAACCCACTGCTGGCGTGCGTGCATCGCAAGGCGATGCCCCTATCCCCTAAAGCTTTGTAGCGGGGATGCTGGGGACGGGGGCCGTAAGGGTGGCTGTGAGGTTGATGGTAGTGGTGGTGGTGGTGGTGGTGGCGGTACGGATCGGGGTTAATTGGCAAGTTTGAATGGGTGCAAAGTGCGTGCGGACAGTGGATTTGCGAATTCTGTCAAGCCGTGTGCTTGTATACGCATGGGTCGGGATGTGCATGTGTGTTTGGTATATAGGCGCGAAAGCCACCCATACTTGCCTCAGGGCCTGGGTTTGACGAAGCCTTGGGCTTGTGAAGAAGCGATGCCCGTCTGAGCGACCGGCCCATCGTAAACGGCCGTGTTGTACCCCGCGTCAGCAAGCTGCTATTGAACATATCGCAATTGAGAAACATTGCTACAAGTTCTTAGACGTAAGTTAAAATCTCGAGGGAGGAATGTCCTTGTTCCGGATGGTTCTATAATAAGCGGTCTTTATGCTGCAGCTTGATTGTTGAGTATCTTAACTTGTAATGAGTAAAGGTAGTTTGGTTCAGGAGCAGCTTAACAAGCGCTTCTAGGGGCAACGCGTTTGGAGTGATGATGCACCGTCGCAATGAGGCCTACGAGCTTGGATCTTGCATGCGCGAACCCGTGCATCTTAAATCACAATAAGCTTTTAATATCGTGTAGCTAGCGGCTTCCGCAAACACACAAGCCTGAGGATAATGTCACAGGCAACCAGCAACGGCCTCGCCGTTACTTCTGATGCTCATGCTAGGCAGCTAAGCACTTATGACAAGCTAATCACTTCCAGTGCTCAATAACTATATCGTAAATTATTTCACCGAGTTGCAGAGGATGGCATACACCCTGATGTTTAAAGCTTCCTAACTGGCTGTAGTTGAGCGATTACAGCGTTAGTTTTCCTCACATTTGACGGTGGACCGTAACACGTATATCTACACATGCACATGAAAGAACATAAATATACGTGTTGATGATGGCTGTAAGCCTTGTTATGGGTATACTTTGACGTGGACCGTTGGCAAAGCATGTTGCTCATCCTCTATGCTCCAGCAGTGGGGCAAGGGGACCTATGCCCGCAAATAAAAGATTTGTTTTGTGAGGACAGGGCTTTATGGAAACCGCCCACCGAAGCCGTACGCTGCTGCACTTGCTCGCGCTACGCTGACGCTGATCAAAATGGTAGCCAATTTCACGGATACGCTTTTTGATACACTCGCAGTTAACCTGAGTCTACCTTTTGCTCTCTAAAGACAAGTCGTCACCTTCCTAAGACAATTGCCCAGACGATAGAGCTACTGAACCTCCACTACTGCTATTTCATTGTACCCATATCGTTCTGGTCTCCTTACAAGCAAGCTTTGAGCCTTTTGCCCTCGATTGTCGCTTGTTGGAGCTTAAGATTAAGGTGTAAGGCCGGGCTCACCGTTTCACACAACCGTCAACGCCAAGTGTTCCGAAGAGTAGGCAAGCTCGAGGCCTCGATTGTCACATCAACATGTTAAGTTACCTATACTCCAGAATTTATCTGGATTTTCGAGAGCTGCCGGCCTAATCCTCCCCTAAGAGAAAACGATGGTACAGTCAACACAGCGGCACTTGTATCGTTAAGTAAGTCCGGGCGGTGTTATCATTCATGTTTTTTGCATAGCTTTTATCGATGGGGTTTCCGATGGGTTTGGCTACAGCCGTGCCGCAGGCTCTTGCATGGGTTGACCGCCGGTCGCGAGCACAGCGAAAGCCAGCTTTATGCGCCCCGTGTGCGCATCCAATCAATTAGTCTTGCATGACAAATCTGTATCCAAATCTATCATTTATCTGGACGGACTGCGTCTGGTTTGTGTTGGCGTCATGAACCGCAGGGAATCAGCGCCGGGGGCCGGTAAGACGCCAGCCGGCGATAAACAATTCACGTCACCGCTAAAAATAGGATTTATCCGGTACCTGAAAGCGTGGTCCTTCACTGTTGAGGCCAGGGTCGCTCCCGTGTCTCCCGTATCGCTTCGGCCCGCGAAGTCAGGAAAGAACACTCCGACAGAAGGCAGCGCTGTGAAAGATGCGGGCTTATCTTCCCATGCGTGAACCCCGGTCTCCACACACTCAGGGCGATACCTGTGCCCCTAACAGCCTCGGCCAAGACCAGAGCCTGCCCGCACCAAGACCAGAGTTGTTAGGCCACGATGGGGCAGCCCCTCTCTGCAGCAATCTTGGCAATCCAGGTGTCGACGAAATCGTGTATCTTTTAGGCGGCAGATTCACTAGCAGCGTCCCTCGTCAGCGCCAACACCGTCACCAGCAGCACCGACAAGCATCGTCGGCAAGGAACATCCCGCTCGAGCAAGGACAATCCCTCCCTCGTGCGCGCTTCCTAGAGGAACCGGCCGCGAGTCCGCCATCCACCGCAAGCGGCGGAGAAGCAGCGCAGGATCGCAGATTCGCAACCGTGATGGTGAAGGCAAAAAGGCAGTGCGTTTCACCGCATCGCCATGCAGTCGAGCTGTGCCGCACTCGCAGCGCCAGCAACAACGCTAACGGCAGCTACGCCAGCAATAATAGCGCTATTAACAGCCCCTGCTGCTGCTCTTATTATGGCAGCGGTGCAGCAGCGCCGCAGGAGTTGCACTGGACGCAGGCGCCATCAAGGGCCGGTATGCCTCGAAAGAACGACGACATCGTTCGCCAGGGGCCCCAGGAAAGCAGGGGTACTGTTGCCTCCCCGCCGCCTTGGCAACAGCTCATACCCTGTGCGCTGGAGCCTGCGGCAGTTCGCGCCGCCGATGCATCTGGGTCACCACTGGCAAAAGGTTCCCGTGGGGCAGCGCAGCCAAGTGGCGGTAGCGGCGACGCTGGAGCAAGCACTTTCGCGGCTAGCAGTCGCGGTCGCAGCAGCGGCAGCAGCAGTAGCAGAGGTGCCGGCGGGGCGTCGGGGGGATATATCACCGGCAGCGGCAGCAGTGAAGGCGTCGATCTTGGGGAAACAGATCCTGAGAACCTCCGCTCTTTACCACAGCAAAAACATGCGGGCCTTGCGATCGCAAGTCTTCAGGCCAGGCATGTACCGGCGTCGGCGACGGGGCCGGCGTTGACCGTCAGTTGCATTAGCTGCGGCAGCGGCTACGCCAATGGCAGCAGCACCACCACCACCGCCACCAACACCATTGCAAGAAGCAGAAGCAGCAGAGGCGGGCCTGACAAGGATAGTGAAGACGACGGTGATCATTCGGGAGGGGGTAATCGCGAGACCGCACACACGGCCACAGAAGCAAGCTGCTTGCGGTGCAGCGGCACGCGATCGGCTCAAGCGCCCTCGCCCGGCCGACGGTTCCGGAGCAATGTGCGACAACAGCCGGAGCAGGAACGGGCGATAGGAAGCGGCGCCCACTTCGGCGAGGGTGGTGGTGATGGTGGCAACTGTTTCACCTGTTCTGCCCCAACGTGCAAAGCAGGGGAGGAGCAAGCACTGTTACGGTCTTGTAGTGGGGCCAGCAAAGTCGTCATCGGGGCCGGTGGATCCACGCGAATGCAGCCGCGGCAGCCGCCACCGGCATCGCTGCATGGAACGGAAAAGCCGTCTTCCGGCACGCGGGGATGGGCAGTGGCTCATTGTGGGCAGTGGCGGTGGCGGGAGTTTGTGTTGGCGGCGGTGGCGTTGCTGGCGGTGGCAGCGATGCCGCCGGCGGCAGCGCAGTGCCCGGAGATGCCGCAGTTGACCATTTGGGTCAGCAGCAACTGCACGTACCGCTACCAGCTGTCGTTGTGCTTATTCATCACGTGGTGTCCTAAGTGTACGACACCGCCGCAACAGACGTACACCTCCTTGGACATGATACTGTGCAGCCAGGACAACAAAATGACGATCGATGTGGGTTGTGACGGCATCTCGTCCTGCATCGCCGGCAGCCCGCCGTCGCCGCCCAAGCCGCCATCGCCGCCAATGCCGCCGCTATCGCCCTTCCCACCAGAGCATCCGATGCTTCCGCCGCCGTCACCGCCGAGACCGCCACGGCCCCCGCCTCCGCCTCCCAGGGCGCCGTACGTGCCCGGTGTAAAGCTGCCTCCGCCGTCGCCGCCACCGCTCCTCCCGCCATCACCTAGGCCGCCGAGGCCCCCGCCGCCGCCACCGCCGGTACCGCCGTCACCTCCAACGCCGCCATCACCATCGCCTCCACCACCCTCAGCGCCGAACCCTTCACCGCCGTCACCGCGGCCGCCACCGCCGCCACCCCCGCCGGTTCCTCCGTCACCGCCACCACCGCCGCCACCGCCGCCGGTGCCATCACCGCCGCGTAGGCCACCATTCAACCCTGGAACATTCGCCCCACCATCACCGCCTAGTCCTCCTGCACCGCCGCCGTCGCCGCCCTCGCCGCCGTCGCCCCCGTCTCCACCATCGCCGTCGCCGCCGTCACCTCCCCCCTCTCCCGCTCCTCCTCTGCCACCATCGCCGCCACCGCCTGATCCTCCGCCTCCACCACCCAAACCTCCGTCACCGCCATCGCCACCGCCGCCACCGCCGAGCCCATCGCCGCCGCCTCCCTCGCCGCCACCGTCACCGCCTTCACCGCCGCCGTCACCGCCATTGCCGCCAAGCCCGCCATCACCGCCGCCAGACCCACCAACACCTCCCACCCCGCCGTCACCACCACCCTCCCCCCCATCACCGCCATTACCGCCATCGCCCAACCCACCCATGCCGCCTTCCCCCCACCCACCCCCGCCGCCGTCGCCCAACCCGCCGCCGTCGCCGTTCCCCAACCCGCCACCATCACCTCCACCGTCCCCAAGCCCGCCACCTTCATCTTCATCGTCCCCAAGCCCGCCACCTCAGCAGGGCAGACCCTCGCCACCGCCGTCTCTCTTCCCACGTATCCCTCCTCTTCCACCGTTTCCCCCGTTCCCGCCCCAGCCGAGCATCCCGCCTTTCCCTCCCTTGAACACTATTGTACCACCCCCGCCGCCATCGCCGCCTCCTTTACCACCAAGACCGCGTCCGCCCATCCCACCGCGGCCCTTCTGGCCACCCAGTCCTGCACCCCGAACCTACAACATCGGCAGAGGCTACCAGCTTCGAATCGGCTACGGCCTGCCATTGAACCCCACCTCCAGCCAGCTTTTAGCCATAAAGGACGGCATCGCGCTGGAGTTTGATATCCCCGCCGCCGACATTGACGTAACGCCTTTTGCGCAGTACCTGTCGTCCGTGTACGTGCTCGTACCAGTTATTCCGACGCAATGCGACACTGCACTGGAGATGTACATCAAGAGCACGCTCTGTGCGGAGCTTGTACTGCCGAACTGCTCGTACGTGGATACGGCGTGCATGTCCGACTACGGGCCCGGGCCGGTGGTGCCGTTTTACCCGACAGACGACACGAACCCTGGCGGCAGCGCCATACCCGTGGGCGGCGTGGAAATGGCCGTACGGATCTTAATCGACGACGAAACCAACAACGTGCAGTTTGTACTGGATCTGTTCCAGAAGGACATCACGCTGAGCGGCTGGACGGTACGTTTTGCCCCATTCTTACGTTACGTCTGCCGTACATGTATCGCTTGATGCTTTTACACAGGTATACGTTGGAGTTTTAACCGAGTGCATTGCTGTGTGGTACGCCCAACGCGCAGCGTCGTCCCTGCACGTGCACGTCTCCAACGAACGCACATACACACGAGCCCATTGTCCTGCCACGTTTTTTCACCTCCGTTCCTCAACCCTCGCCCCTCTCCCTCCGCGACCTCCTCCCCGGCCCCTCTCAGGTGATCAACCCTGCCCCCAACAACCTCACAGAGTCGAGCTCCGTGAGGGCGGTGGTGCGCAACCCCACCTCCTCCTCCACGTCCAATCTCGTCGTGCCGGAGCTGCGTCTCTCCAGCAGCCTCGCGGGCGCAATCGGGCTGACGCTGACGCAGGTATGCGACTGCGGAGAGGGGCCATTTCGCTCTGTAAAAGTATGTTTGTGTCTCAGTAATCAAACATTTTCTTCGTGCCTTTCCTGGCGCGGTTGGAAACATGGTTGCACGCCCGGCCTTATCCATTCAAAGATTATCCATTCGCCTGAAGCTTGCTTGCTCCGCATCTTTTTCCAACCGAGCGCGCACGTCGCCGAGTTGCCGGAAACGACACAACACTCTGGGGCAGAGTAGCACTCGGATAGCGACACCACCTGTCCTAATGGCCACCACGATCACCAGCCACCCCCAAAACACGTACGGACAACCCGTTGCAATGATGCAATGACGGAGGCCCCTCCCCTCCCCTCCCCTCCTTCACGAACTCCTGGCCGCAGGTGGTCATTGACTTCCCCGGCGTGGTGGAGCCCATCCCTTCGACGTCCAGCAGGCTCTGCCCCAAGCCGCAACTCGGTGTGCTGTGCGGCGCTGACGCCGTGGGCGCCATCATCGGCATCATCCTGGGCGGCCTGGTGCTCATCGGGCTGGCCATCATGGGCTTCATGTTCTCGCGCCGCGGCAGGGTGAGTCTGTGTGTGTGTGTGTGTGTGTGTGTGTGTGTGTGTGTGTGTGTGTGTGTGTGTGTGTGTGTGTGTGTGTGTGTGTGCATGTGCTAGCTCGCTCGAGCTTGCGTGAGTGCCGATCCAAGGCTAACGCTTTTATCGTGCAGTGGCGGACAATGGTTCTCCGTTCAGGCGCATGTTTGATGTGTCGTCGCGAGTCTATGTGTCCGTTTGTACACCTCATGTCTGCACAATGGGTGTACAATAATTTCCCCGTCACTTGAACGCTTCTCCTACAGATGACCAAGGTGATGGTGATGGACGATTTCGCATGGGCACGCAAGTACGCGCACATTGTGCCCACCAATGTCATCGCCTCGCCGGTAAGCTAACGGCCGATCCCACCCTGCCGCGCTGCTGCTGCTGCTGTGGTGCTGTAAATTCAATGCTATTGTTGCTGCTGCGGTTGTTGCCTTGGCAGCTGTTGTGGAGAGGTCTAAGAAGATGGTTAGGGGCCAGTGCATGTGTCGGAGTGCGTGCGAGAGGGGCCAGAGGGGCGGGAGGGGGGAGGGAAGGGTACTGGCGTACTGGCTTGCATGAGGGTGGGGCCTTATCGCTGTCCAGTTTGCCTGTTACTTGGCACGTAATGGCGTTCGTCCTGTTGTTGTTCTTGATGGTGGTAGTTATGGCTTTGTGGGTCTTGGCGCTCGCGATGTTCTTGGAACGTTCTTGGAACGTAGTAGTGTGGCTTTAGTAGCGGTTTTAAGAAGTCTTTTATTTTCCCGAGTGTGAATGGGAATAGAACACCCATGAGCGCATTTCATAGCTGCCCATCGCTGCTCGGGAAGAGACTTATCGTCCGTACCCGCTCCCACCTTACTCTCTTCCGTCCCCGGCGTTCGTCCTGGTCGTCGTGCATGCAGTACATAACACAGTACCGCATTTCGAATCCGGATGCCGCTACAAATGCTGTGTACCGATAAGGCGGTGAGGACGGCGATGGAGACACCGGCCAATGAAGAGGTCAAGAAAAGGAGTTCAGAAGCCGCTTCCGGCTCTTTCCCTCCTGCCCTTCCTCTTCCTCATCATCCCGAGGGCCTGTGGTTGGCTCTGCGGGGCCCAGAAGCCTCCGAGGAAGCGTGTATCCATTGCGGTGGCAGCTAGCTGCAGTACGGCAGTGGTGCCGGCGTTGGAGGACTACCAGGGGGAGAAGGCGTCACGCATGGGAAGTGGGAGGCGTGCAGACACGTCTCTCTTCCTGCGTTGCGCCATCGGGGCATTCCGGTGGCCGCTACAGGTCATTCTGTTGTCTAGTGAGATAGGTTCTCCCCTCCTGGGCAACGGATAAAGTTTCCACCTTGGGTTGGACGGGTCGCCTGCCTGAGCTTGACTGTATGCATTAGTACGCGTGCGTTTGCGTGTCTTTATATATGTGTGGGAACCCTCCTCTGGAAAGCCATAGCCGTCACGGAGGTACGGAGCACGGCATGTACGGCTCCCCGGATGCTCGCACTGAGGAAGGGAACGCGTGAAATACATACAACGAGCAACATGCAACATCTGCAGCGATTGCATGTGGCCCTCGAGTGCGCGTCGTTATTGTGTAGCGCCGTGAGGCGCCGTCGTTGGAAACTGATCCTCAGTACGGCGACATTGAGGACAAGGGAACGACCGACGAGGACAAGCAAGGCGGCTGGCGTGCACTGGCGCGCTGCGCTGCAAACGCGTAAAGGCATGATGGGGGCTGGGAGAGGCGCGCTTAATTGCTGCATTGTATGGTCTACTAGTTGGTCCGAAGTTAATGACATGCACATACGTACTGTCGTATATGTGCGCATGTGTGCGCACCGGAGTGCCGGGCTGCCTCCCTGTGGGACAGCAAGGAGAGGCATCTTGTCACCGCGTACAAGCGGTTATCATTGAGGAGAAAGCACTTGGTAGTTGGTGAGGTGGTCCTGTGCACTTGGAAAAGAGGACATGCGGGGGACTGAAGTAGTAGTGAATACTGTTGGGGCCTAACTCCTTTTGACCTTTTGCGGCAAAATGAAAACTTGGTTGGGCCCCGACTCCGTCAAACCCTGAAGGCCCTAGTCACAAAGCCAGATGATTGCGGGTGGCTGGCTTGGTGGCTCTGGATGGGTGCCAGGTCGTGCCAGTTGCAGCGCTGATGTTGCTGGTGATGATGATGGTGGCAGTGTTGCGTGCCGTGGTGACTGACGCGGAAAGGGAAGGAGGAGGAGCGGACTACCGGCACCACGTTTCCCCGCAGCTCTCCAGCCAGCCAGTCCGCCCATGACTAGTACAACAACAATGAAGATCAGCTCCCTCAGGGTGCCCCAGAGCGCGCGTGTCCAATTTTGTGCATCTATCCCATGTGCGCTTTGTCTCGAGGTCTATTATCTGGATGTGGAGTGGATATCGGATAGATGGCGTGTGCGTGTTTAGATGTGGCGACGTCGTCAGCGCACTCTCGACAACTTACTGTCTTCTTTTCGTCCTATTTTGCCGTCCCTCAGTTGGTGTTACCTTGTTCTTTGCCGGTTTCTTTGAGAGGCATTTCCAGGGTTGTGCTGGTGCACTGATTGATATGGGGCCACTGCCGCCGCAAGTCCTGTTCGTACGGGCCAGAGCTCTGGACCTGCCTGTGGTGGCTTTCACCTAGGGGAAGTTATGTTGGTTGAAGTGTCTTAAGGCTCTAATGGGGGCTTTCTCGAAGAAAGAGACTTACTAAGGCTTTTCGGGAAAAAAGATTGCAGTGAACTTAATTTGGGGGAAAGGGAAAGTGTCGGTCGTTAGCGTCCGCTGCCGCTGCTTCTATCGACCCTCATCCGGGGCCTATGGCGCATGTAGCATCAGGCCACTTCCCATTGGTGTCCAGTCAGTCTATCCCATTCATACGATCGTGTCTTTCTCCCCTGCACACATGCACACAGACACGCATTCGCCTGTAAGGCCGCACATGGTACTGAAGCGGTTGTTCGAGGTGATACTGAAACGATATACGACCGACAAATCTGGCGCTGGTAACAATAATGCTGTCCCCACTTGGGAGATAACAAACGGAGAGAAAACGCTTCCGACCAGGCACGGGTGACAAGTGAGACAGCTCTACAGGATTTGATCGGGGACCAGCCAGTGCAGCGCACAACCCGAATCTGTAGCCGCTAAATCTCCCCCCACACACCCTAAACTCCACACACACATACACGCCTTACAGGTGATAATCCTGCCCTACCGTAGCTGCAGCCATGGCGATGCCCAGGTTAGGCCCTCCTCGCACACTGATGTCTACCACGTACAACGCTTTCCCCCGTCCCCTAGCTCTCATGGTACAAAAGATACATGCGTACAAAAGAAAGGACGGGGAGGCCCAAAACCTAGAACAGGAAAAACTTTCAACAGGCAAACGGTGCGTTGCAATACCAGCGCAGAAGCCTCATGATAGTGCAGCCCAATCCCGGCCCTACGTGAAACAGCCACAGGGCAGGACAGGGTCATTAGGCACTAGAACCAAACGCCGTCATCAACAGTAGCAAGTTCGTGATGTACAACCTCTGGTAGCCAGGTGGGATCCCTGCCACTTCAAGTAACCCCCTTTCTTCCTCCCGGTTGTCAGTCCAAGGTTACCGGGTCTCCGTCGCACAAAATACAAACCCTGCCAAGGATTTGAAATATGTAACTTCCCGCCCGGGCTGCCTCAGCACATAAGCTGGCAATCACGCAAGTTGGGTTTGGTGCCACCGAACCTCGCTCCGTGCCTGTATGACCAACCAACCACCATCCACAATGGCCTTGCAGAGTTGTGCGGCTAGTAGAAAATGTCAGCGAAGCGCACCACGAGCCGTGCATTTTCCTCACGTGCCACGCCATGAGCATGGCAGTGGTACTAGGACACACATCACCGCTGCCTACTGGGGTGTCCCTCCGAATAAGGTACACGGACAGAATCCAACGTCTCCCAACCCACGCAAAAAGCCAACCAGCATTTACTACACTGCACAACGCGGAAAAAGACAGCGCAATACGGCACGAAGATCTTCCATGGATTTGCACATCTGTGTCTACACTACAGGCAACTGCCGTCAGATTCCATAAGCCCGAAACGCTGAGGCGGTGGAGGGGGATCTTTCCAACGGTAACTCTAACGAAAAACCAATGTAACGAACACCCACAGTTTGCCAGCCAGTTTCGGACCTCATTTGCTAACGGTCATTAAACAACCGCTAAAAACACACGCGCGTTGATAAGTACATGTACGCGTGTGCACACATGCGTCCCCTGGGAAAAGCTAAACCGAAACAGACAAGGACATGCCGCTTGGTTCTCGGTCTAGTACCTTATCAACGACGTCAAACAGTTCGTTGCGCATAAATTAACAACCACAACCAGTTTAGAGCCATGATAGTACGATACCAATTCCAGCTCACATCACAGTTAGCAACACTCGACGGCAGTCCCAGCCATGCGATCCACGTACAGGCACACCCGCAGACACAAACGTACCGGCAGAGCCTGCAATCGCCTGCAATCCTAAACCCTAAGATCTCGTCGGCCGCTGCAGCAAGTAGAAATAACCGCCTCTTCCAGGCCCCCCTTCCGCAGAGCATACCCAATCCCGCGTTCCCAGACCATTCGCAAATGGCAGCCAAGATACAGTGATGAAAAAGCTGGTGGACAGCCGAAACCCCAACTGGCAACGTTGCGACCACAGTCAGCTGCCCAGTATAATGCAATCAGCAACAGAAGCAACACGTGGAGTCTAAAACCTCTTCTCCATGTTCTTCGCCATACCGTGCATTTCTTCCTTCCCACAAATGAGATTGACCTTCGGTTACGTCAAGGACCGCAGCAGCAGCGCTGGCTGCTGCGGTTGATACCTGACACAGTCACACACAAACACACAAATCAAAGCATGCATGCGACCCAACAACCAAGAAGTTCGCAACTGATATAATACACCAGCAATTGCCATCGTACATCACAAAGCGTGAACAACACTGGAGCTAGGAGGAGCGAGTGTGTGCTTCTACTTGTACTTTTCCCCTTCGTCTTTCCCTCCTTCAGCTCCTTTGAAGCAGCCATACAAACTAAACACGTCGATCGTCAATCTCAATTATCCAGACACATTTGAAAGCTCCAACAGTACAACACCTAACGTCTTGTTACACGACGCCGCCAATGAATCCGCCATCTTGCGCAATTAATAAAATGTGGGCAGTGTACATATGCCATGTTGCATATCGTGCATGGCCGTGTCGATGCCATCATCGACAGTCCTGGAACAGCAGCGAAAGTAGAACAAATTGATACAAGACGACAGACACCGCAGAGTGGTACACTGGTGTACAGATCTGGGCCAAGCCGGCTGGGGCCCGCTACCCGCTGCTGGGCTGAGACACGACGTAGGCCCCTCAGATCAGCCATCAAGGGGCTTACTTAATCTCCAAGAGCGTCAGGTCGGCGCTATTTTCTTCCTTCCAATAACCCGCCATGATGCGAATCGCATACCAGCGTCAACTCACATGAGGTTTTTCACATGACTCATAACCGCTTTATCTCACTGACAACCGTTTCCGAAAGAGTCACGAGATGGCCGCATCTCTCCTTCGCATATCGAACCCTAAAACCTAGTCACAGCGCTTGATGTGAAAAATTCCATCCGCCGCATCCACCAGAGGCGCAGTCACAGCCCTGCGGAAAACGGCAAGCGTCACTTAACCAGGACGACCCGATGACCTCACCCATTTGCGCGACGTCGCTCACACGCCGTTACGATCCATAGCGCTCCAGGTCCTCTACAGCCACCTCAATCACGCGGATGAGGCGGTACAGATCTCGCAGGTCAAACCGACCCGGCGGATCACCCGCCGTTTTGTCATCTGGCGGCGAGCCGGGAGCATCCACACGCAGTTGCCGCATGCACGCGAGCATCTCCGGCGCAAAGACACGCCGATACCAGCGAGCAGACAGTGGCGCGGAGGACGACAGGATGGAGACGCCGCTGATGCTGCCAGCGGGAGGCAGGAGAGAGGAGGAGCTTGCAGAGAGAGACGGCCTAGCTACTTCCAACCCCTGGGACGGCGCTGCTAGATTGGCGCCGCCGCCTTCGGCAGTGTTACTCATAGGTGCGGCTTCAGAAGGCAACACCGACAACGCGCTTGGCGACGATGTGGGGAGCTGCCGCACGAGCCATGCGTCATGTTGTTCATGCAGCAACGCAACTTGCGCGGCACGGCGGGCTAGTACATCCAGCCGCACCCACAGGTCCCGTCGAAGTCGCGGATTGATTGCAGAAAACAAGAGGAAACGCAGCAGCACATGCGTTGTGCAGCCGCGCTGCAGACCCCGCAGACGCTCCAGAGTCGGTGTCGCCGCGGCCAACAATCTCCGCCGCGCGTGGCGCAGCAGCGGCAGGTGCGGTGCCGTGACGGTAGCGGTAGCCGCTCCTGCCGCCGCGCTGCCGGTGATGGCGACGGCCGCTGACGGCAGGCCTGCCGTTGCCTCTGAGGTGGCAACAGCAGTGCGCGCGAGCGCCAACACGACGGTCTCCTCCGCGCGTGCCACCGCCGCCACCGCACCCCAGTGCACCAGTCCGGGCACCTCCGCCGGCGGCGGCATGTTCCGGCGGGCTTTGTGCGCGGCCTCTACTACGTGACCCATGTGCCATAACGCTGTCACGACGGCACGCTGTTGCAGCACCAAGGCCGAGTGCCACCAAAGTATCACCAGACCAGGCGAGTACACGGCCAGGCTGTGATGGCGCAAGTTGCTATCAGAGCCTTCAGCGGGGCCAGGCTGCAGCACAGATGAAAAACATGGATGTCAAAATAGGAGGGAACGGAACACCAGGCAGCGGACGGGATTGCAGCAACTGAAGAGGAGGAGGGAAAGATGGGTGGGCGGGTCTTTAGGGTCTTTATTACCCTTATTACATCCAAACGACATCGGACCAGACGATAACAGCCTAAGCTAAACGAGCTAAGCTAGGCCAGGCCAAGCAAACCTTAGCCAATCTAAGTGTAAGCAAAACAAAGCAAGTCAAGGAGGGTTGACCTGGGCTAAAGGCTGCACCTTGTGGCCTACGTGTGAGGACGGGGGGATGGGGTTACGGACCTGCTGGGCGGCAGTCCGGTCGGACGAGTCTGAGGTGGCAGCGCCCGCGTGCGAGGTGGAGGTCTGCAGAGGGGCGCACGACACGGGGTGTAGAAGGGAAACCGTACACTACAGTTATGGCACGTGGTCGCGGCCTTGTTGACGCGATAACACAGTGACGATGGCAACGACTGTGAGCCGTTGGGGGACAGATGCAGCGGGGAGATGGAAGATTGATCAAACGTGTATTCCTGTCTGTCCCTGTTTGTAGCGTTGGCGCACCGGCTGCAGCACCCGGTACACATAACCGACTGGCATAGGCACAATACACATGTGCGCGCGCGTGTTTATCTCAGTTTCGACAACCTAAGCAGCGGACGGGAGTTGTGTGTGATCATACTTTAAGGCACCAGGCCACAGATGGATGTGAAGGTTTTACGCACCTTGTGTATGCAAAGCCCGTCAGATCAGGTGAATTCAGGTCAAGACTCAAGCGCACAGTTCGCGTGCTGGCCCAATGACCGGCAAACTATGGTACTAGTCAGGTTGGTCACGTTTATTTTATCAGTCTAGCGTGCTCCTGGCCAGCCTGCGAGTACTCACCCGCTGAAAGATTCCCAATGGAACGTGGCTCAAAACGGAGGTAATCCATAAATGTCCACTATTTGTATTGTGAACATGCTGCTGCAGACCCTGTAGTTCGTCCTGCTGGCGTAGCGGCTTTGGGGTTGAATCGAAGTTGAGCGGACGAAAGCGAGGCACTTGGTGGAGCAGCGAAAGCGGCTCAAAAACAACGCCAGTGCTTTCGCCATTACCCTTGGGAACTCCGCCCGCACCCGGCATGCGGACGTGGGCCCCAAGATCGTGGCCTAAGCTATGGAGGAATGCCGCATGCTCGGGGCTGCTCAGATGTTGCACGAGGGAGCTGGCATGGCCGCGGAGATGGCCAAATACAGAGTTGAAGTACAGCATGAGTCCATTAGAAGGCGGTAACCTGTCTGATGGAGTGGCCAAATGAGCAGGTGCTGCTGTTGCGTCAGTTGACGCCCCGACAGGGTCAGAGTGAAAGCCTCCGGAAGAAGCAGGCCGAATGCAACGAAATGATCTTTGGGGAATTCTTGGACACCAAGCGGGGTGATTCCGGGTGGCGGGCAAAAACCTTTGCCCGCCATGCGAGGCGCTCACGGTCACCACATGGGACGTCATAACGCTTGCCGTTGAAAATCAAAAAAAGCTGCCTAATACGGCGCTTACGGTGCTGTGAGAAGCCAGTCAGAGGAAGGCTACGAGCCAATGAGGAGGACCGGTTCCCCTGCGCACACGAAGCAAACAAGAATGCGCCATGGCTATCCAGCAGCATACAAATGCAAAGTTGGAGCCTATAATAATGGAAAAGCCTTGCATGAAGAATCCCTGTCAATTGGCGCGCCCGGCGCCGGAAGGTAAGCACGCCAAGACACATGCTAAGAATGGACCCGTGCGAGTTTCCAGTTATGTAATAGGAAGGAACTCCCTCACCTTAAACGGCCAAAGAGGCGTTGCGGCTGCTAGGGCTTTCCTTCTTTCGGAAGCTGTATCCAACGGACCGAGCCTCTAACCCGAAGTCTTCCCACGTGTCAAATATGTTCACCGCCGTAGCAGCGTACACTATATTATATAGGATAACGAAGCGCAGTTTGCTTTGGTAGCTCTACCTGTACCGATAAGAACGGGAAAACGTTCTGAAGTTGAGGAGGTCCAGACTTTCACAAGTTAGAAGAAGCCCTTCTACAATGTTTGCGGGTACATATGATGGCTATGGTCTCTTCAATAGAGGTACCGGCTGCAGCAGGCACGCCACGCTCCAGGGAAGCCACATGGAAAGGAACAACTTGCTGTAGCATTATATTGTGTGTTGGTAACTGCATATCCATTATCAGATTGCCCATGTGTTATGTTTGCGTTTCATTTCAGTGTCCAAAGATACCGAGTCTACGAAAATCGTACTATTCCGCGCATAGTCTCCGTCCCGCATACAGACAGTGCGCACACCCGAGCCCTCGGAAGGTTATAGAGACCCCTGGAGCAAACATGACGCCCCTCAGGCTCCCACCCTGCCCCATCAACCATGACACCAACCCATTACAGACAAGTAAAACGCATCCAAACAAGTCCACCGATACACAAGGTCCGCCTCTCCGCCAAATTCTCAACATTGACCGTAACCATAAATGCCACCACTGCACTGGGCTTTGCCTGGACTTTGCCACGAGCTCCTCCCTTAAGCGGAACAGTCGCTTTGATTTGCTTTTTAAACTCGTTTGTCCTCCTCTTGACTCGAAGTGGAAGTATACTACTTCGTTCCCTGCACACTCCAGTTTACAAGGGCTTAATGTGTTTGTGCTTGTACCTGGCGCGTCGCCTCTTAATGGCATCCCTCTTATCACACGCTGCGGTAAAATGCGGCCCTGCCTGCTTGTTTAAGTAGGCCAGAAATCTCTAATTTTGAGGTTTGGGCATATCTACACGGCCTAACTACGGTGTGTCCGATTTAAATAGCTACAATTAGTCCCAACAACATTCCTAGGTACGCGAAACCTAGCAGGAACCGGAATGGGTAATGCGGCGTTACATGATTACACATGCCGTCTAGGATATCATGCAACAGCCTCCAGACGGACGCCGTGGAAGTACCCGGCGATGTTCCAACGACAGTCACAGCCCTCGCCAGCCGCATGGGCCTGGATAAGGGGCAAAAATCTCTCTTTTTCAGGGGGGAGGGTGGGGTGGAAGTCATCGTCAGGAAATTGAGTCCGCTCCGGAAGAGCAATTGGTTGCGAAGGCAAGCGTTTGTCTAAGCCCTTGTGAGGCAAGTCGAGCGCAAAGCAAACACTTTGTGCTACCGTACGCAAGAAGGTGGTACCAGCACGAAATTTCAGGAAATGCAACGACGCACACGGACTCTAAACAGAAACAAGCATTCAATGAGATGAGCACGAAGGTAAGGCACGTTATTCCGTGCCCTTCAGCACAGCGACGACAGGTACGGCAACCATTTGCTAAGCAAAGCCACGCTGTTGGTATTGGAACAGAACAAAACATCGCACCGAGGCGTCATCAAACTAAGTCTTCAACTCGAGGGATGCAGAAATTAGATCGCATTAGAGAAGCGATCGACGAGCTCGGAGCTCGCCGGAGACAACGGCGGATATCAGCAACAGTAAAAATATGATAAATAAATTACTCCCCGGCGCTTTTCGTTTTCATGGCCTGGGGCCGCAGCTGCACATGCAAACAACAAAACAACAAGCAACACGCATTGAACCGCACAACGAATATAACTTTTTTTCGGTTAGTTCGGAAACTGCCATATCTTCGTCATTGCCTGTCCTCTGCCCGCGCAATCCTCTGCAATCTTCACGCGGAACATCTTTACAACGCATTTGCAGACACAGATGTACGTGCACACACACATACATGCACACACATGTTATAGCCAATATAGCCAAAATGCGTTTCCGCAACTACTTTACTTGCAACCTTAACCATTTCAGACGGAAACCATACTTCCTATCAAAGCGGTAAGTTCTCAACATCAATATCATGATTGACAACAACAACAACAACAACAACAACAACAACAACAACAACAACAACAACAACAATAAATCCAGCTCTTCTCACGAATGCATTCAGAACGTCGGAATGACCCATGGGTCGATCCACCCACACGGACACCAAAACTCACAGAGGGCCCTCGGCAGATGCAACACGCTGCATGCATCCCTGCATCTCACTGCACACCAATAGCAGCAGCAGCGGATGCCGCTATCACAGCCAACTGTACCTGACTTCCCACGCTTCCACACCGTTCCGTATACGACCAAATTTTCAACAAAAAACACGTGTCATTACGTGGAGGTAAGAACACAGCAGCGGCAGCAGCAGCAGCAGCAGGAGCCGCCGCGGTGCACATCCACGAACGCCACATGCTGGAATATACTCCCTGGTCGACGGATGATGTGGGAGCCGGACATGATTGCACGCGCTGGATCGAGACAGAGCTCAGCAGGTTGAGTGAACGCTCTCCTACTCCTACTCCTACTACAGATCTGGGTGCACATCATAGACGTGCAGGCGATGGTCGGCGGACGATGAACGGTGCATAGCGCTCAGTCCTGCCGACCACCGAGATCATCTCATTCACGTCAACTATGTCGCCCATGCCAACCACATCGGTCCACATGTTAGGGGATGAGGGTATCCGTATATCGTGGCGATGAGAAGGGAATATGCATAATCATAACGACACACAAGCTACACACACCCTCACACACACAACACGTGTTCCACCCAGTAACCCGAGCTCAAGACAACTACACATTACACCGTCCGTCCAGGCCGTCCGTTATGGGCATCCTACCTGACGCCGGCTGACGCCCCTTCCATCTGACGATGCCCTATCCCTGTCCTCATCGTCCCGTCTGCATTCCTGTCCCTGTCTGTTTCTGATCGTGTCATTGATCCTGTCCGCACCTCCGCAGGGCCCCTGTCGGAGAACGGCTGCCCCACAATTGCAGGGGAAACGTGCTGTGAATAACTACCAACCGCACCGCCGCCAACGCCAACACCTCTGACAGGGCCTGAGATGTAACCAGGGCGATACGGGTCAAACTGCATGTCGAGGCGGCAACACCGACAAAGGCACAGTCCTAGTGCTTGCTAGTGCAATGGGCACAGTAGCAGCAGCTCATTCAGATGGCAAGGAAGGTCGCGCTTGACATTGGTGCTTTTGCGACGGCTCAGGCGGCCCTTCGCAACAAGACTTCGGTTTCGGAAGCCTTGCCTCCGTCGGCACCAGCACCGACTGCAGCTGTTGCTCTTGGCCTTGCTGCTGCTGCTGATGCATCATCAAGACATGGAGATGCTGTTGCTGCTGCCATTGTTGCTGTTGTTGCTCGAACTGGCATCGCAGCAGCTCCAGTTGCAGCTGTCCTTGCTGCTGTTGGATTCTCAACAGGGCCTGCTGGCTGTCTGCGGGACCTGGGGGCTGTGATGCGGGGCCTGGGGGCTGCGACCCCCCGCGCTTCTGGTGCCGCTCCTGCGAGCGCCTCTCCTGACGCCTCCCGGAATGCCGGTGGTTTCTGGTCAACTGAAGTGCTGACGAGGAGGGGCTTCCAAGGCTTTCCAATCTCGCAAGCAGCGGCTGTTGCTGCTGCTGTTGTTGCTGCTGCTGCTGTTGTTGCTGCTGCTGTTGTTGCTGCTGCTGCAGGTGTGGATACTGCGGGGAATGTTGTTGAGGGTGGTGCTGTTGCTGTAGCTGAGCCGCCTCAGCAAGGGTGATGGGTTTCAAGCCAAGACTCGGCTGGTAATCCTGCTTGTGCTCGTGCTGTTGCTGGGCTGGCGCCTGTACGGACTCCGCTAGCGGCGGCGGCGGCGACTGCTGCGTCAACACTCGCGCTTGCGGGGTGCAGGCAGTGGCCATCATCCACCCCGCCCCGGGGCCGCTGCCGGCTTCCGCATCTGCTACGCCGCCCCTGGGCGTCCCTAACTGCCGCATCGCCGACGCCGCGTTTTCCGCCACGGTAGCCTCCGCCGCGGCAGCAGCGGCGGCGGCTGCCGAGCCACTGCCGCCACCGCCGGCACTGTCCTGCGCATCATTGCTGCCGTGCTTGCTCCCATTACTGTTAATCATCGCGGCCGCGCCCATTTGGGTCGCAGCTCCGGTTCCTTTGGAGTCTCGTCCCGACAAAGCCGCACCTCTAGGAGGTGGAAAGATGGGCGGCAGGCCCTGCCAGGTTTCCAGGGCCGCTGCGGCCCCAGCACCGGCACTGGCGCTGCCGGTAGCGCTGCCGCCGCCGCTCGCGTCGGTGGCGTTGCCGTTGGATTCCGCTGCGGTGACACTCCAAGCTGCAAGGCCTGCGTGGTTCCGCATGGGCGCAACGGATGCGCGGCCCTGCTGCTGGCTGGGGCTACGTGCGAAGGGTGACGCCGTCGAAGGCTGTTGCTGCTGTTCCTGCTGCAGGATGAGCTGTAACGACTGGTTCTGGTGGTGCTGGAGGTCTTGGTGATGGTGCTGCTGTAGCTCAAACGGAAGCGGTGCTTGGGAGTGCGGCAGCTGGAGTGCGGCCAGGGCAGATGCGGCGTGGACGGCGGAAAGGTTGGCGAGAGGCTGCGGGTGGTGAGTTGCGTTGAAGGTGCCATTGCTGCGTTGACCCTCGGAGTGGGGGAGTGCTCGGTGGCGCTTGACAAGGCTGGTGGCGGCGGGCTGCCCTGCGCGGGTCAAACTATTGGTGTCCGCATTGGAAAGGGGGCGCTTAGCTGGATGCTGCTGCTGTCGTTGTTGTTGTTGTTGTTCCTGGTTTTGTTGCTGTTGTTGGAGCTGTTGTTGTTGTTGTTGTTGTTGTTGTTGTTGTTGTTGATCGCTCGCGCCTTTGGCGCCGTCCCCGGCGGCTGATGAGGAGGTCAGCCGCGTGGGACCGCTGTCGCCGCCCGAGTTTACGCGGCTGTTATGAAGCGCGATCTCGAGCATCCTCCTCAGGGCTCCAGCCTGCGCAACCGGGGGAAGGGGAGGCTATCTTTTACAGACGTCGTTTTCAAAAATGGGCGACCGTGCCGATAACGGTTGCCCTCTCTTGCTCCTAATCCCGAAACAATTTGAAACGCTTTCTTAATATCCATTTATGTCAGTATCTGTTATTTTTATGTTATTTAACTCCTAAGAGCATAACTCACGTCCTAACTCTTCCCGTTCACCGGGTGACGCACGTGCTATAACGGCAGACCACATCCCCAAGACTGCTAGGCATCACGCAGCACCGATGATCCAGCTCAACACGGAAAACGGAAAACGGGTGTCGGCACGAAAGAACAGGATGAAGTACCTGATGCAACATGCAGGTCAGCGACTCTGTCAGCGTCCGGCTGAGAGCGAGCTGCGCGTCAAGCTGTTGTTGCATGGCTGCAACAGTTGCTGCCACCTCGGCGTTGGTAGATTTATTTGACCTAGATTGTTCGCCCTCCCCAAGGGGCTGCTCGCCTTGCCCTGTCTCGTCCTGGCTTTGCTCCCTGCAAATTTAGACCAACCAGCATAAAGCGTTTCAAAGATCAACCATTTTCAAACTCATGTCAGCATACATAGCCAACCGCATCCGGGTTATAGGGGGACGAACCGGCGCACCGTGGCTGCATCTGGTCGCCATGAAAGAGCAATCGCATTCGGAACCCTAACGGCTCTTCCTTAATCCTGATTGCGGGTCCGATGGTGGCATCGCAGCAATCTTTGGATGACAGTGTGAATTACTTCGGAACACATGATAGCCAGAGACTGGCGCACGCATGCAACTGCAGACTGGGAGAACTATGGAATTTTACCCATGAGGGAGCCTTCCGATTAGCCTCAACCATTTTTCCTACCTGCAGTACGACAACAATTGATTGCCTAATTCCTGACATTTTGGACGATCCATCTCCAACATTATCAGAGTGTTTACGAACTGAGAGGTACTTTGCAACAGCGATGGAAAACGAACCTGTGAGTCCTCAATTTAAACACTTTGCTATCGCAAGTTAAGATGGGCCACGACTGGGCCGGGCCACGACGCAGTTTCCTATTTACAAGCGGGCTCTCTTGCAGTAATTGTAGCGAAACTTATCTTAGTATTAAACTCCTCATTTCCATCTTGTTGTCGTCATGGAACGATCGCACCTATGCAGGGGTGCCCACGCAGGACACCTTTTCCCCGATGATGGCTGGTCACGGCGAAATTCTTCTCCCATATCTTTCGCGTTTTGTACCCTCTGCATGTTCTCGTATTCCTGTTCAAACAAAGTAATCGACTTGGGACACGGGCTCGGCACATGAAAACCACTTTCGGTCCATGCGAGTACAGGAGTTGACTGTACGCAGGAGGAACAATGGCCTCCACTTCATCGCGTCAAGGCAGACTGCTCTCATTTGTGCATATACGTCCGTAACCCCAAACGCAACCCTTTCTTTCCATTTCATCATACACGGGCGCGCACGTTGCCAGGTGCATTACAACCCCCGCGCAATCCTCCCTCTGGTCCATTGCAACTTTCGAATGTCTTCACCTCCCTCCTCTCCCAGTCAAGTCTTCCCCGACTCTCATGCATTGGGGCAGTCGCGCGCAAAATGCCCCGGCTGCTGGCATCGGTAACAAACGCCTGATCCACCGCCGCCACCACTGCCAACGCCTCCGTGCATCCCGCCAATGGCGGATGCAAAGACCGCCCCCCCTCCTCCTCCTCCTCCGCCGCCGCCGCCACCCCGGCCGCCACCGCTGTTGCGCATCGGCGCTACTCGACACCCGTCCCACTGGTCTTCCCACAGGAAACACCCACACGAGTCCTGCTCCGCGCGCTCCGAGTGTCCACATGTGAAGAACGGCCGGTTCGGATTGGCAGTACTCCTAGACACAGCGCGACGGCACGGCAGGTTATGACGTGGACACAGCGGTGCCTCAGCGGACGTAGCGGCGGCGGCGGAGGCAGCGGCGCCGCCGCCGCCGCTGCGGTCGGCATTAGCTCGCGTCCCACGGGCTCGGGCGGCAGCTGGCTCGGACCTGGATCGTGACTTTGCGCCGTCACCGCGGCCAGCCGCGCGCGACGCGGAGGCCGTACGACGTCCCCGTCGTCCCCGGCCACCATTTCCGCCGCCGCCGCCGTCATGGCTGCCGCCACCGTCATCATCCCCACCACCACCGCCATTATCATAGTCTCCTGCGGTGCCGTACGCACCCGTATTCCCACCGTTATCCTGGTTCTGTGCTTGGAACCCCCCACCGCCGCCGCCGTTGCGTGCATTTGCCAGCGCGTTTCGCACAGCAGCGGCGGCGGCGGTGCGATTGCTGCTGCCTCCACCGCCACCACCACCACCGGCCGCGCCGGCGGGGGCGGTGCCGCCGCCTCCACCACTTCCTCGCCCGCCGCCGCCGCCACCGCCGACGCTGCAAGCCTCCAAGATTTCTTTGATTCTTGGATCACATACCAGGCACCCCGTAAGGGTGGGCTCCTGCAGTTCAGAAAACATCAAACAGAAGTAGTTACCAAGACCAGGAGGGCTGTAGCTTGGGGAGGACGTGTCACAGGGTGCATTTCTTCTCCCACAGACGAGTCGACAAACAATCAGAGACGCCCAACCTCCCAACGCCCTCACATCTCGCCAGCGATGATAGACAAAAAGACACACACACAGACACACACAGACACACACATAGTGTAGGGTAGCGCTTCGGATGCGTACATGGCGAACGCGGAGTCATGGGTGATTGCCGCCATGGGTGTTGCGGCCAGGGGCTGACCAGGGGGTGATATAAGGAGAGGATGTGATGATGTGGATGCGAATGCGGTATAACACCTATCAAATGTGGCATAACACCATACCAGCAGTTGGCACTTTGCTCCGTCGTACATCTAATACTCCCCAAAACCCCCAAATCCCCACCCCAACACACATACTCTCATCAGACACACCGGCATATACGATTCCCCACCCCATCTACCCTTCCCATTTGTTCACTCACATACATACAGGCACACACCGGCAGTACCTCACGCACCTGCAGGATGCCTGGCGGCATTTGCCCCATGCGAAATCTGAGGTCAGCTCGCATGAGGGGTCCGCCGCCACCGCTGAGCGCGCAGCGGCCGCAGGGCTGGGAGGATACGGAGGCATCCGCCACGGCGCGCGGCAGCGCCAGCCTAATGTGTGTGTGCATGTGTATGTATGTTTGTACGTGTGTGTGTTCCAGGGGACGGGGGGGCGGCGTGCACGTCAGTATAAATTTCTCGGCGGCGGGTATCCCGGCGCCGATACATGCAGTGATGAGAAGGCACGTATGACGGCGATGCGCTGCCTGTCAGTCTGTCTGTCTGTCTGTCTGACTGCCTGTATACGTACTGACAGCGCATCTATAGTGCTGACCTGACCCTTACAAACTACACACATACACATACACATACAGACGCACGCATACACATTTACACGTTGTCCAAAACCTCCGACGCCCCCCTCCGTCTCGTACCTGTACCCGCACACGGAGGTACTGGAGCACACCGCCACGTAGCGTCCCTCCGAACCACGGGTCAGTACTAGGGAGGAGCCGCCGCAGCTCTGACACGTGCCCAGCAGAGGACCGACGGGCGGCGGCCCGCCGCCGCCGCCGCCGCCACCACCACCGCCGCCTCCGCCACCGTACCTGAAGCCCGGCGCATGAGGTTTCTGGGGTGTTAAACGATGAAACCTCCGTACATCCCCCACAAACAAACATCTGCACTCACCCCGGACCTCCGCCACCGCCTCTGCCACCACCGCCTCCGCCACCACCGCCACCGCCGCCTCCGCCACCTGCCGTAGGAAGGAACCGGGCCATCTCCGCTGCCAGCATCCCCGCCCGCTGTTGCGCCGTCAGGAAATCCGCCCGGAAGAACTGAATGGCCTCCTGGAGGACCTGAAAGGGGGAGGGGGAGGCGTGAGGGGGTAGTTAGGTGCGCGGGCGGGGAGGGATGGGCCGTTGGAGGGCGGTGATACGAAATGAAGAGCGGGCAGGAGAGCTATTGGGGCCGGTAGATATGTGTGTGTGTGTGTGTGTGTGTGTGCGCCTCCATTTTTTGAGTATAGAAGTTCGGTGAAACCCCCTCCTCCACACAAACACCACACCGCAGCAAGTCCCTCCCACCGGCACCAGGAGCCACGAACACTTCCTCCCCTTCTCACCCCATCACCCCCACCCGCCCCTGACCCCTGTGCCGTAGAACCCCCGTCATGCTCCGAAACCAGCCTGGTTAACAACCCAACCCCAACCCCCCTTGGTAGTTGTCTCTTTGGCTTTTGTATGTATGGTTCATACCCCCTGGCCACACACATACACACACACACGCACGCGTGTCCACTCAGTCCCCCAAAACCCACTTCACCTGATCCTTGCTCACTCTCCCCGCCGCCACATCTCTAATGCTGGCCTCGATCTTACCGCGCAGATCGGGCTTCCATAAGTCGTCGAGTCCCATACGGCAGTAGCCGCTAATTAGCGCCTCACCTGCAAACATATTCACATTGCCGTACAGCCGTACTCATCTTTATGTAAAAATATCCATGACGCCGTACAGCCGTACCCAATTTTATAAAAATTTGGGTACTGAGAGGTCTCAATCCCACCCACCTAGGGGGGTCGGCCAGAACGTCAGCGCCCCTTCGTCCTTCTCAGCATATCCCCTCTCCAACTGCTTCTGAATGTGCTCGGCCACCGTTGCATCCGTACCAATGCCGTATGCCTCCATCTTGGCGATCAGGTCGCGCTCCGACAGACGCGGCGGCGGCTCTGTGGAGCCCTGCAAAAGGATTGCCGTACAAGGGTTTCTGTGTTTTACCGGTCAGCACGTATGGAAAGCATGGTGCGAACAAAGTGGAATCCATCTGGACTAAATCGGTTGTCTTGTTTCCCCATCCCATGTCTTACCGTTCTTAATCGCATCTCCGAAGGAACGAAGCTCTGTCCAACCGTTAGCTTCGGCAGGTTGTCGTTGCCGCCCCAACCGCTGTACGGATACACGTCAAGCCAGTTGCGCTCCAGGACCATAAGGCCCGTCGTACGGAAACGCTCGCCTACAGGATCCGCATCGACAATACATTTTTTGAATAGTGTTGTCGCAGCAAGGACATCAATGAGCTGGCGCGGATGGAAACGGCGCGCATACGTCAATAGTGTCGATGTTGAAACCGCAACTCACCCCCAATGTCAATCTCCACCTGGGTTTCGGAGCCAACCGCGTCCTTGGAGCAGCACGCCAGAAAGTGCCGTACAACAAACTCATACAGCTGACGCTTGTCATGGCTCCAGTCGTGCTCGCCCTGTTGGGGGGAGGGGACGACATGGACAGGGTGAATGTGGTTTCGGAGAGGGGGCGTGGGCGGAAGGGTGGCCTGCCTCTTATGTACGCTCGCGTACCAGGCTGTGCCGTGTGGGGTGTATGGGCGGATGGGCCTTATCGTCGTGACCCCCGGGTCGCGGTTGTCTCCACAGCTCCCCGCTGAGGATACGTTGCGCGTGGCGGCCCCAGCGGGGGTCCCCCGTGTGCTCTGTTACGATACCCTGGGCGACAGGAGGGTGGGGTGGGGCGGTAGGGGCGGCGGGCGTGTGTGTGTGTGTGTGTGTGAACATTACACGATGCAGAAGTACAATGCACTGCAAGAAACATATAGAAACATATACATATACATATACATAAACAAATAAAGTGTTATATATACGATGGTTATACATATTCTATGTAACATGTACCATATAATATACAGTACCCCAAATACTATTCACATATTAATAACACTTATGAAAGGCGTGCGCAGTAAACACACACACACGCACCATCTTGAGTTTCCCCCACCTGCAAGTCCATGCCCGGGTCAAACACGTCCGTCTCCGTACGGGGGTAGCTGATGAACCCAGCCTGGTAAAGCTCCTCGGCCAACTTCATGATGCGCTCACCTGCCATACGAACACATACATGCACCGCACACATATATGTTGGCAGGGAACAAATAGCGTATGTATAGCTTATAGAACCTCTCCGCCTCCTGCTCGCATGCGCTCGCATTGTATATCAGCAACAACAGCCAACGAATGCCAAGGAGTACCCAGGGTGATCACGTGTGCGCTAGCATGTGTCTGGGGGTTCCCATTAGTACGGCATGCGTACCGCCATCCTGGGTCGGGAATAGAGAGCGGGAAAGCGTGCATTATATGTATGTATGTTGTTACAGGGTGGTTAACTTCGCCAGCGGCCCCCTTTCCCGGGGCAGTCCCTGCTCTCCCCTGCTAGAGGGGCACCCTAATCCGTCACCCCATCCGACTTCAGAATGTATTCGTTGGGTTCGGCAACTCACCACCAGCATCCAACCAAATCTAGCGGATCAACGGCGCATCAACTTAGTTCCTGGTTAGCTCGCAAGTTGATTGTATGTATGTATGTGCGTATGTATGTATGCATGTATGTCCTTGTTACAGTCCTCTCAGTAAGCCCACGCTAGTGCCGCCTGTGCTTCCAACAGCTGCTGTGCTCTGGTTTCAGTGTCGACCCTTTGTCGGGCCTGCTGGACAGCTGGAAGGGCTGCTTCTACACGGGCTCTTGGGCACAGCCTGCGATGTTGTGCTGTATTGTTGATTTGATGTGCTTGGGCAGTGAGGTGGCGTTTGAAAGCAGGCCACCACTCGATCAGGCCAGCAGGGTTGTCCTCCGCAGTTGGGGCCGCCGTACACTGATCGGTAATCCAGGCCTCCATGCCGTGGCCAGGTCTTCATGAGCCGTGAAGGCCATGTGCACCCAGCGAATTCCCGGGCCCCTTTCCTCAACCCGGTGAGGTGTAAAACCATCACACTGGTGTGCTAGATAATCTCCAAGCTGGCAACATACAGCATCACATGATTCACATAAATGTGATCTACTCGAGAGCCTCCTGGACGAGGTGCTCGGTAGAGGTGGGTGTAGTCATGGCTCATGGGATGAAGCTGACGGTGGCTATCCATCATGACCGGTCCAGCTGTGCAGAGCATTCCTGCTATGGGGTCATCTACCCTCCGCCCATCCTCCCCCACTGTGGAGTCCAGGGTCGGGTTTTCGACAAAATTAAAGTCCCCCGCCCATATAAAAGGGTGGTGTCGCTGTTTAAATCTGCCTGTGTGGCCGTTGCTGCCAGGATGTTGCTGATCAGTTCTTGTCTTAGGGCTGCTGCCCTATGGGTGGGGACATAGATATTGCAGACCTCGATGCGGTGCCCTCCCCAGCGGGGCAGGCAGCTTGTCAGCCGACCCTGCACACTCACGTTATTTCGCCGTTAGGCCTTGTCGGACGAGGTTAAGGACGCTCCCCGTGTGGATGGAGTTAGACCACACGCTGGCCACTATTCGCCAGCCCTGGCTGTGGGATGTTGCCGCTGCCATGCTTAGCTCGCGTTCGAACAGGGATTGGTGGTGGGCATTGGTGTGGTGGGTTTCCTGTAGGCAGATCACATCCAGCCCCATCTCTGTCCACTATTTGGCCGCTGCACGAATCTTGCCCAAGTGTAAGGGGCCATCCCCGCATTGCACCCTGTTGGTGCTTGGTAGTGATCGTCGCTTCCATTTGCAAGGTTGGGGGTGGCAGTGGGCTGATCTCTAGGCTGGGAGGCGGTGGGGAAGTGTAGCACTTGGGACGGGGAGCCCATCGATTCAGCCTCCATTACCGTGTCCTCCTCCTCAAACTTCAGCTGTCCCCGGCTCCATCCCCAAAGCCTTGGTTCCCTGGATAGCCTCGGCCTCTTTCACCTTGTGTTTTCTGGTAGACTGGATTAGTTCACTGCGCCTCTCTGCTGCCGACGTTTTTTGGATCATCCGTTTCTGGTCCTTTACTTGCTGGGCCAGTTCTGCGGATTGTTTGGAGGGAGCTTTGGAGACAACCCAGCTCCTCAAGGCAACCCAACTACCCAGGCACCGGACCTCCACAAGGGGAAAACATGCAAGCCTCGAAAGGCCCAGGGACCCCAAACGCAAATCCGCAGGCCAGACCTGACAGGGGAGGCCAGGCGCACGTTCTTCCTGGCGCAAACAGCTGCAGCCCGAGCAGCCCGCAAACAATCCGCAGAACTGGCCCAGCGAGCTAAGGACCAGAAGCGGATGATCCAAAAAACGTCGGCAGCAGAGAGGCGCAGCGAACTTATCCAGTCTACCCGAAAGCAGAAGGCGAAAGAAGCCGAGGCTATCCAGGGGACCAAGGCCTCGGGGAGGGAGCCGGGGACTGCTGCTGTTGAGGGGGACGACACGATTATGGAGGCTGAATCGATGGGCTCCCCATCCCAGAGCCTAGTATTACACCTTCCCACCGCCTCCCAACCTGGAGACCAGCCCACTGCCACCCCCACCCAACTCTGCTGATGGAAGCGACGACCACTATCAAGCGCCAACAGGGCGCAATGCAGGGATGGCCACTTCATATTGCAACACAGAACATGCAGGGTCTACTGGCCAAACACAAGGGCAAGATTCATGCAGCGGCCAAACAGTGGACAGAGGTGGGGCTGGATGTGATCTGCCTACAGGAAGCCCAACACACCAATGCCCACCACCAATCCCTGTTTGAACGCGAGCTAAGCATGGCAGCAGCAACATCCCACAGCCAGGGCTGGGGTGTAATGGCCAGCGCGTGGTCTAACGCCATCCATATGTATGTATGTATGTATGTATGTGCTAGTAGAAAGCCAGCGGGTTTAAGGCATAGCCTATATCCCCCCAAGTACACACACACCTACCCCTCCTGCGCCCAAATCGCACTCTAATCATCTACCACCTCGTACACCCAACCCATCCCCGGCACAGGATGGCGCATAGCTACGACCCTTTCCCCCCCAACCCCCCCCCACCGGACATCCGTAGCTTTGCCGTAGCGCGTTTCTGCATTTCCAACGTGCTCAAAGGAGCGGGAGCCTGCCGGGTTCGTGTAGTACCCCGTACAGACACCACCACTGCCGTACCGGCCTCCTCGCAGATCTATGAGGTGGGGATCAGTAACAAGTACAATGTGAGGCAGAATGAAAACCGTGAAATGAGTTTTGGCGTATTACAAAATTTAAATCAATTTCAAGAGAGAAAAGACCAGCGGGCCGTGCAGTGGGTGGCTGCGGGGAAAGCCATGCTGTGATGTGAGAGGAAGTGGTTGCGTTGTACATGTCGTACGTGTCGTACATACCTCGTAGTACATCTCCGCCACTGCCTCATCGAATAGTCTCCCCCTGGCCCACTCAAACACGCAACTGCCCCCTCCTGCTGTTGGGGCCTCTCGATAAGCCACATGGATGGTCCTGAGGTGTGATGCAGTTGCCGGGGACCCCGGGAGATGGAGGGTTGGGGGGCCTAACTGCCAGGCATTTCGTATCCACCAGCACTGTGCCGTACACCCTCCGTACACCGCCACCCGTGTCATTACGTCCCGCAGTGAAAGTAAACTTGAACTCCACACAACACAACACAACACGTCGGCAGATATTGCTTATAATGTCTGCATATCATGGCTCCTCCCAACACACATCCATTCTGATCGCTATGACGCTATTTTCCCTTCAAATATACTATACTAATACTATACCTCTACCCCACTTCAACACTGGATTACCACTCCTACTACTAATAGTTTCAGTAGTGCGGTGCATGTGATTTCCTTAATAAGTTATACAACCCGCGCCTCGGTTTATTCAAACACTACATACATACATACCTTCCCACCCGGGTAAGGAACATACCCTTCCACCCGGCAATGTGTTCGTTCCTTTTCCCATGTGCCTCCCTTTTCCTCATCATGCCGTACCCACCTCGCCGTACTCACCAAAACTGCTCCCTGACGTGGTTTTGCACCTCCCACGCCCGCTGTACGATAATACCCAGCGTGGGAAACTGACACGGGCCGTAGCTGAGGACTGGAGCTCGGCCGTCCTGCTGAATACGTTCTCGTACGGCAGCGATGCCGGACAAGTCAAAACGGTCCTGCAATGGCGCACGGGAGACATTTTGATGGGGGGTTGGGGTTGGAAACAGAGGGAGTAGGTGGGATGGGGGAAAAAGAGGATTATGGCGTGCATGAAGGGTTAAGAGGGGGTGCAATCACCACACGCATAAGCGGCGCCTCCGGGGTTGGTCGGGATGAAAGTAAGCCGGGGTTGGGCGTGGGTTGGAGGAGAGGAAATGGTGCAGATCTGACAGGTAGAGGGGGTAGTGGGAGCACTGGGATTGCCATGGCAGGGGATCACAGGCTCGGACGGCGAACACACAGGTGGAAGGTGACCCAGATGGGAATAGCAGGAAGAAGAGGAAGAAGAGGAGGGGAACGTAAAAGGGCAAGGAAGGGGAGGGGGAAAGAGAAGGGAGAGCAGGAGGACGAGGAGGGGGAAGATAACGCAACCTCCCTCCCTCCCTCCCGGCCCCCTCCCTCCGAGCCGCCGTCTGTCCGTCCGTACTTACCCGCAGCTGTTTCGTCTGGAAGCGTGTAAAGCTGGCCCCAATCCGCAAGTCAATCTCCTGTCGCGCGTCCACCGCCGCCGCGTCATTGGCATTGGGCTGTCCTAACGTGGCCATAGCGCGTTGTAGCTCCCGCGGGATGAGGGCGGAGAAGCGAGCGCGGCGAATCACCAGCCGAGGATTCGCCGCGCGACACACCGCCATGACCTGCGGATGGGTTATAGTCATGTATTTTTCTGGGGTTTCATGGCGGTTACAGCGGTTGTAGCGGTTACAGCGGTTACAGCTGCGTTTTTAGCAGGTGGGGGTGGGGCTGGGGATGTCGTGGGACGGAGCGTGGTTTGGGTCACAGCGAAATTATAATGAGAAGCGTCATGTGGTTGGGGAGTTGGGGGTTAATTCAGTGGGGCCTTCACTTCATGGGATACCTTCCCTCTCTTCCCTCTTTCCCTAGACGCCCACCTCGAAGCTGATGTTCTCCCCCTCCCTGTCGCAATCCAGCCACAACACCAGCCACTGACACTGCCGTGACAACTGCTCCAACTGCCGCTTTAGATCCGTACGGTCCTGCACGCACGCGCGAGTGTGTGTTGGTTAATCCGAGCCGCGATACGGGAACAGGCCGACGTGGGTGCATGAATAAAACAGGACACAGATGCGAGCTCCGAACTCTCAGCGACGAAGTCCTTTCCAGTAAAAACTGGCACCAGCGTGCGCGTGTCGGTGTGTGCGTGTGCCCGTGAATAAGTGCACGTCTGTATGTGTATTTCTAAGAACTAAGAAATAATGGCTCAGGGCCACAAGGACGTGTTGACGTGTGTGTGTACATGCGCATGCGTGCTTGGGAAGGGGGAATCCAACCCACCCAGCTTAAAAACGAAAAAATATATTTGAACATTTTAAAGCCGCGCACTCCGCAGCTATCCTGCTCCAGAGCTGTTCAATCGCTATCCACCATTCCTCCAGGGCCCCCAGAGACAGGCCGATCAGTTCTATGTTGCTCTTACTTTTTCTATTCCTTTTGAAAAACGTCTACCTCTCATACTGCTCCCATACGGCGGTGTCGTACCTGCGGCACCCTCTTGTCCACCGGGCAGCTGTATAGGTCTACATCGCTGCAGCCGTGCCATTTGCGGTACCTACGGTGTACGATAACATACGGACACGATAGTCAATGAGGTTGTACGTGCTTATGCTTTGTATGTGTGCATGTTCCCTCAACATCTGCGGGTACCAGTATGTCCAGCATGTACCGCAGGCGTACAGCGTTGACATACGGCACAGTGATTTGTACGACGTTAGTACGACATGCCTACCCGTCCGGAAACTCGACTTCCATCAGATGTCCCGCGACGGACGTGAACACCATGACTGCGGGGTGCCCCTCCACATTACTGTAGTTGAACTCCCAAATGGGGTTGAAGCGAGCCCTGTGTTGGGATTCGATTTGGATTGGATTTAGGTTGTCGTATTGATTAGATTGTTGGATTTTTATTGTGGATCTGTTTTGGAATTTGGACTGGATTTGGGTCAGGGATCTTCATGGAGAGAAGAGTAAGGGGGGAGGAAGAGGGGGGGAACGGCGACAGGCAGGCAAGGGGTTGGGAGAAAAGTAGGGCACCATAGGAGGCAAAGGTGCTATGCGATATAGACAGGGCCCCGGGGCGGGGAAGGAGGCAGTAGGAGTTGAGGAGACAAATTTGGGGCAGCAAGGCATGTATGCGCGATTGGAAGCTGAGGGTGAGGGGTGACAGCTTCGAAGATAGGGGCAGAGTCCTTGATCCCGAGATGATATCTGGTTAGAGTGCTGAGCCGTCGTAACACACATCGGCTGAGACAGGTTAGGAAAGGGCAACTGGGTTCCAGGTGCGAATAGAGCGCTGTGTGGTCTAACATACAGGGCCGGCATGACTCGGGGAAGAACACCAATCGAAAGACCCGGCGCCAGTAATGCACTTACGGTCCCCGAGATGACCTTGCGGATCCATTGCTCAGGATTCGGGACACCTCCTTAGCGACGCTGGGTTTTTCGGCGACGTTCAGCACACGTATGGACATGGCTAGCGTCTCGGCCAACGCTTTCGCCGAGCCCAGATGACTCCCATATTAAGAATCATTATTACTTGTGAGTCAGGGATGTGATGAGGATCATGACCGGCCGCCGCTTAGTTATTTTTGTTAGCGATGCCTTCAGTCGGCCTGCTAAACGATCTCGCTAACAGTTGAGCCGTAGTTTTTATTTATTGGTACATAAACTGACTAGCGGTAAACACAATCCAAAACAAGGGCTTAGTGCGGACTGAAACCAAAAAGTGGAGCCGGCGGGAAAGTTCAAAATTTCGCCAGTAGCCTTCAAAGCAAAACGCCACCGTTGCTGTTATCGTTTTACTCTTATTGTTACCGTTCTCGTTGGTGCACACCGCGATGCACTGCTACATGACAAGACTTCACGAATTGGTTGTACGGAACGCAAGTCTTTGACAGCCAGGAAGGGTCTTACACATCCGTCTGCTTAATATTGGCTTTTCATCACAGCCCCATCTCAACGCCAAACCCCTGGTATATGTATATCCTGCCGTGCCGCCTTGTCACCGCCCGGCAGCACATCACGGCACTGCTCCGAGGCACCGGAAGTGCACACAATGCCATTGGTTCCCATCCCACCTGCCCCTACCACCTGCCGTTATACCCCTCTATTCCCGTAAACCCCTAATCCCGCACCCCCGGTGTCTCATGCGAATACACACTTGGGCCCCGCGATGCTGCTGCTGCGGGGAGCCCCCAGCAGGACCCCCACCCGCACATCGGCCCTGCCCGTCATTATGCCGCATACCCATGCCCTTCGTCTTACTGCCCGCCCCAGCACCCACAAACACCGCCGGTGCGGCACGTGTGGCAATTGATGGGTGGTGTCAACGTGGTGGGAGCTGTGCTTGTTTCAGCAGTGCTGATGCTGTGGGAGCTATGCTTCCGCCCCACAGCCGCGAGCTTCATCGCGGCACACTGCAACTCTTCGGAGGCCCCGAGCATTGGCCCACGTAATTGTACAAACAAGCAGCTTGCGTACTTCATAGAGAAATGAAAGCAAATTTGTCGGCCTGCTGGTGGCAAGTCGCAATGCCCGTGCGGGCAAATGGTAACGCAAGCTGGGTGCTCGAGTTATCATACGCCGTCATCTCAAAATTCGATTGTGAGATACGCGGCACCTTTTGAGATTAAATTTAGCCCGAGAGGCGTTGATGTGACTTTGACCTCGGTCAACGGAGGCAGCCAAAGGTGTTTGTGCTCATACGATTTTTGTTGGCTACAGGCGAGATACCTTGCAATAGAGAATGCATTAGATTACCAATAACGCGTTTCAGCTGGGCGAGATATTACGTTTTGTCCGTTACACACGGCCACACGGACATGGGCAATCCTACAAGGTGGGGCCCCCCTGGGCGCTTCACGCTGGGGCCCCGCCCCAAAATACAGAAGTCAACGTAGGGCCTTGAGGAAGGAAAATGGCTGGCTATGAATTTTCCCGCTCGGAAGTTAATGTCCAGTTTGAAAGTTATCAGCAGGTCTGAGGCCTTGATAACTATTGTGCCACTAATGCGGACTTTGTGTACGGGGTCCCTTGACGCGATTTTTTAGAGAACTTTCTATTAATGTATTAAATTAGTTTCTTATCGCTTGGGTGATTCGCTGCGCTGTGCCAGGTGTGAGATTTTTAAGCAGCCCCTCGCACAAATGTGAGCGGTCGTACTCTGCCGAATAAACGGTTCGTACATCGTCCAAAAAAGCCAGGAGCGAAATTTGCCGCGCGGATGCGCGCGTGGGATTCGCAAAATGCGCCTGTACAAGCGTATATAATTTCTTTGGCGAAGAAAGGACGAGGTGCGCCAGCGCGTTGCGCAGGTGGGCATGTTGGCCACAGCCGCACGCGGCATGCAGGCCGGAAATGTGGGTGGCTCCTGTGCCGCAATTAAAAGAACGAAAATCATACAACGTAGCTTGCAAAGCTTGGCTCAGGCAAGGCCGCAGGAAGAGGAAGCGTTGAGCGAAGCGACACTTTTGTGCAAGCAAACGGTCGCGTTTTTGGTAGCGCAACGTATACAGCACCTTGTTCAGAGTAAAGTCAAATTACAAAGTTGCGCAAAGTATAACATACATAAACTTATTTAAACATAAGAACAGATAAGACGTTTAGAGCCTTGTCGGTGACATGGACGCCGCTGTTGGCTTGGAACAGCTATTTGTTGTGCATAGGGACGTGCCCGCGTTAGCCGTGTTGCAACAGCTCAGGATGAATTTCAGCCAGCAACAGCCTCAAGAGCTGCTGCACAACCACCAGGAATGTCTTCAGTTGGGCACGTGTAGTTTTGGTCGGCGGGGTCGAGCATCGTACGCATTGCGCACAGAAACCAAGGTGCAGCGTCTCTGTAACATCGCCAACATATCCGGTACGCGGTGGCAGGCTTGCCGAGCACGAAATGAAGGGGGGGTCGCATCTCACCATTCAACTAAGCATGCATGTGCTCGGTTGAATGCTCGGTAGCGTGCGAGTTTACCCCTATCAGGATGTTTGTTTGCATATCCCTCCAAGCGAAAGGGCTTGGACCTATGCTGATGTTCGTTCCAAGAAGTGAACTGGGGACTGATGCTACGGTGAAAGGTATGCACGTAAATTCGCCCGTGCGCCAAACGCCCTGTAACTCGCTTACGCTAATCTCACATTCCAATATGCCACTGCACTTTCCTCTCCAGCCTGGCCACATTCTCTTCCTCGCAAACGTACTTGGGCACCTTACAATCCGACACCATACATGCTTTGGAAACGCGGGCAGCTGCTTCACAAGGACCCCCCTATTTAAGCAGCCCCTCGCAGAAATGTGAGCGGTCGTACTCTGCCGAATAAACGGTTCGTACATCGTCCAAAAAAGCCAGGAGCGAATTTTGCCGCGCGGATGCGCGCGTGCGATTCGCAAAATGCGCCTGTATAAGTGTATATAAATTTTCGTGGAGAAAGGACGAGGTGCGCCAGCGCGTTGCGCAGGTGGGCATGTTGGCCACAGCCGCACGCGGCATGCAGGCTGGACTATTGCGTGGCTGCATTGCAGTAACTGAAAGCACCGAAAGCCTACGTCGTAGCTTGCAAGACTGGGCTCGTGAAACTGCCGCGGGAAGAGGAAGCGTCTGACGAAGAGGCAGTTGTGTGCAAGCAAACGGTCGCGTTTTTGGTAGTGCAACGTATACAGCACCTTGTTCAGAGTAAAGTCAAATTACAAAGTTGCGCAAAGTATAACATACATAAACTTAATTAAGCATAAGAACAGATAAGACGTTTAGAGCCTTGTCGGTGACATGGACGCCGCTGTTGGCTTGGAACAGCTATTTGCTGTGCATAGGGACGTGCCCGCGTTAGCCGTGTTGCAACAGCTCAGGATGGATTTCAGCCAGCAACAGCCTCAAGAGCTGCTGCACAACCACCGGGAATGTCTTCAGTTGGGCACGTGTAGTTTTGGTCGCCGGGGTCGAGCATCGTACGCATTGCGCACAGAAACCAAGGTGCAGCGTCTCTGTAACATCGCCAACATATCCGGTACGCGGAGGCAGGCTTGCCGAGCACGAAATGAAGGGGGGGTCGCATCTCACCACTCAACTAAGCATGCATGTGCTCGGTTGAATGCTCGGTAGCGTGCGAGTTTACCCCTATCAGGATGTTTGTTTGCATATCCCTCCAAGCGAGAGGGCTTGGTCCAAGCGAGAGGGCTTGGACCTATGCTGATGTTCGTTCCAAGAAGTGAACTGAGGACTGATGCTACGGTGAAAGGTATGCACGTAAATTCGCCCGTGCGCCAAACGCCCTGTAACTCGCTTACGCTAATCTCACATTCCAATATGCCACTGCACTTTCTTCTCCAGCCTGGCCACATTCTCTTCCTCGCAAACGTACTTGGGCACCTTACAATCCAACACCATACGTGCTTTGGAAACGCGGGCAGCTGCTTCACAAGGACCCCCCTATTTAAGCAGCCCCTCGCAGAAATGTGAGCCGTCGTACTTCGCGAATAAACCGTTCGTACATCGTCCAAAAAAGCCAGGAGCGAAATTCACCGCGCGGATGCGCGCGTGGGATTCGAAAAATGCGCCTGTACAAGTGTATATAAATTTCTTGGAGGTGCGCCAGCGCATTAAGCAGCCTCTCGCACAAATGTGTCCGGTCGTACTTCGCGAATAAAAGGTCCGTACATCACGCCCCAAAAGCCAGGAGCGAATTTTACCGCGCAGATGCGCGCGTGCGATTCTCAAAATGCGCCTGTACAAGTGTATATAAATTTTCTTGGCGGAAAAGGACCAGGTGCGCCAGCGCGTTGCGCAGGTGGGCATGTTGGCCATAGCCGCACGCGGCATGCAGGCTGGACTATTGCGTGGATGCTTTGCAGTAACTAAAAGCACCGAAAGCCAACGTCGTAGCTTGCAACTCTGGGCTCGTGAAACTGCCGCGGAAGATGAAGCGCTGGCGAAGAGGCAGTTGTATGCAGCACCTTGTTCAGAGTAAAGTCAAATTACAAAGTTGCGCAAAGTATAACATACATAAACTTAATTAAACATAAGAACAGATAAGACGTTTAGAGCCTTGTCGGTGACATGGACGCCGCTGTTGGCTTGGAACAGCTATTTGCTGTGAATAGGGACGTGCCCGCGTTAGCCGTGTTGCAACAGTTCAGGATGGATTTCAGCCAGCAACAGCCTCAAGAGCTGCTGCACAACCACCGGGAATGTCTTCAGTTGGGCACGTGTAGTTTTGGTCGGCGGGGTCGAGCAACGTACGCAATGCGCACAGAAACCAAGGTGCAGCGTTCTGTAACATCGCCAACATATCCGGTACACGGTGGCAGGCTTGCCGAGCACGAAATGAAGGGGGGGTCGCATCTCACCATTCAACTAAGCATGCATGTGCTCGGTTGAATGCTCGGTAGCGTGCGAGTTTACCCCTATCAGGATGTTTGTTTGCATATCCCTCCAAGCGAGAGGGCTTGGACCTATGCTGATGTTCGTTCCAAGAAGTGAACTGAGGACTGATGCTACGGTGAAAGATTTGCACGTAAATTCGCCCGTGCAATAAAACGCCCTGTAACTCGCTTACGCTAATCTCACATTCCAATATGCCACTGCACTTTCCTCTCCAGCCTGGCCACATTCTCTTCCTCGCAAACGTACTTGGGCACCTTACAATCCAACACCATACGTGCTTTGGAAACGCGGGCAGCTGCTTCACAAGGACCCCCCTATTTGGACTTAATGTTAGTGTACGGCCTAGTGGAAACACCCTGTTTGGCTGCACGCATACCTTGGGTTGCTTGTCGTGCGATCTAGGGTCCGGGATTTTTGCCGTGCGAACTGAAGTCCCGATGCCTAAGCATAACCGACAAAGCAAACTTGAGCTTACTTATAAAGCTTGATGAATGCTGAAAGGCACCGTTTACGGTGATGCCATAATTATCTGGGCAGTTTTCGCTGCCCCACTGTTTTCAACCTTTATTTGATCAAATTCAAATTAGCACCACAATCACAGCGATTTTTCCATGTAAATAGCTTTCGGCTTCATCAGAATTCACATGCTTCGTTGACGTCCCTTCAATCCACCGGTTTTGGGCCAAAGTTAACTGCTTTTCTCGTTTACAGTGACTTCCTGCGCTCCACAAATCCTCCTGACAAGTTTATCACAGCACAGCCGTCTGGGCGTTGTGAAATTATGCGGCGCCCGGCAGTCTGCGGCTTCCTCTCCCGTACGCAAGCAAGCGTACATATTGCCAGCCTGTTGTTAAAGGACATATAATTTTTTCACATTCTCATAGATTAGGGGACATGCTTAGGGCGAGTTATGGGACAGGGCTTTCCGATTCGATGTACCAAAACCCACGCAACTGGCTGTTTGGGACTTCAGGCTGCGCGCATGGCTAGGGTCAACATCCTTAAGGTTTTGACTGGCATACCTAACGAATCAAGCTCGTCGGTGCAAAGCTGCGACATTTGATGCTTGGGCTGTCATCGGGCGGGCTTCGTGTTGGGCATTAGCAGCCAAAGTCAATCAAGCGCAAGTTTGTCAGTTTCAGACTGATGGCCTAAGGGAAGTCCCACCTTCGAATAGGCACCATGGAAGTGCCACCTTGGGAATTTACCCTAATTTTGAAGAGTTAGGCAAGTGTACCATCCCCTAAAACGTATCCTATATTATCATCCGCAACGTTATCGTGCAACAAGAAGCTTCATTGCTCTTACAAATTTATTCCGTACTGGAATATGGCGGTTACCATCACATTAGCTATAACTGATTTAGTGAGCCATTCGCAGTCTGACGTATTCCGTACGCCTGGCAGCAGCAGTGCTGCCCACGCATCACAATTATGGTGCGGCAGCCAGACAACACCATACCGTCCATGCCAAGCAAGGACATGTATCCATCGACAACACGCCAACGGCCCCTCCGTCCTCCGCATCCAAGTGCACGTAACGAGCTATGCCTTGCACAGCTGCTGGTAGCGACCGCACTTCCACCTCGGTAGGAGGAAAAGTGGAATTCGTGACATGGGAGGAACAGCCAGGAGGGACAGCCAGGTGGAATGGATGGCGGGTGCAATCAAGCCCCCATGTCTACCAAACTCGCACCAACACCCGCATGACAGCATCATCTGCGATTCAGGTCCGGGCGCACAAGGAACATTGTTGTCTCCATGTCGTGTTCCTTGCATGTGTCCATTACTCATTACTGTGAACTGAAGGTATGTGGGAAACACACGCATGGAGAAGTTAAAGAGCTACGTGACGTGGAGAACGGTGTGCGTTTTCGAGCCACACATATTTAAATATAAGCTCATCGGTGTGTATATAATTGTAAATTGCAATTACCGCACAAATGCGGGAACGTTTGTTAAAGCGGGGGAGGCCATGAAAATATACATCGAACGAAATCTTGGGGCCTGCGGGTTCACTGCCTGGCTGATTGACTATCTTCTTCGACTTCCGCGTGTTGCCAAACTTAATAGAATGTCACAGCGCACTCAGAATAGGTGAGACACAATAAGCTATACATTCACAAAGCCAGCATTCACAAAATACATTTCATGATGACTGCACGCTAGGGTGAAGGCACCACTCAGCGTGAGCTTTCGTCGTCACCACGATGATATTCTCATTTTCTTCATTTTCCCAAAACCGAAAATAATCTGTAAAACCCAAAAGAAATGTCCTTCCCTGAACTGTATTACGGCCATCAACACCACGGCGCTGCAATCATGCTAAGCCCAGCATCTCAAGGGGGCTGATAAGCGAGAAACAAAAGTAAAGAGAGAAAACCAACGAAGATTTGAAACCCACCAAGGAGCAGCTCCTGCATTCAAGGCATTTTCTTCTTCCTCTCCTCTTAACTAGGAAACGGCGCAGCCAAGTACTGAACAACTGAATAACTGACCTCAGATCCTACACACAAGCTGTCACATGTGACTAGTATCACACACACGTACGTACACACACACATACACACATCCCTAACGAGTGCTCTAATGCTGCGTTTTGGCACATTGCATACCCCTTATCACTTGGATTATCCCTATCCCTAGTATCAGGCATCCATGCAGTTTGCCTAATCATTGATATATGCAGCCGGGGATGTTCCCCCCCCCCCCGCTCCCCTAAGGGCTTACATCCTCCCCGTGTGTGTGTGTATGCACATCTCCCTGTAAAATGAAGCCACGGCCAAGACCATATAATATGTAAACATACACGTTCCCTCCGCTCCCCTGTTCATGGGTACCATTATCTCCATTATCTACGACGTGTTTTTCACACCTGATCACTGATCACACCAACATCATGTCGTCCCTACACATACGTCCTTCACGTTGCTCCCCAATCATTTGCCTCCATTCGGCGCGCATCAGAACAGATCTCATTTCACGCTGCTGCGCGCCTTCTTCATTCGTTCTACCACAACCCCAAAGCCCGCTATTTGGGGATCGATTATGGGGATGCGGTGCAATGCTATGCGATGGGTTTAGAAGTCCTATAGCTTCTGTTCTCCTTGAGGAGATGGATATATGCATGTCAGGAGCAATACCTGCTCCATTCGCCAAGACAATCCTGTTTGCCTGAACCCTACGAACGCCCCTCTGGTGATGCAGGTCTTCCCTATCGCAGAACCCCAGATAGATTTCCAGCCCAGGCGATTGCATGTCAATGGATCACCCCCCCCTAATACGTCCAATATCACGACACCCAGAAAGGCCATCACGCTGCGCGGTCATGACAATTATACTTTCATACATACGCGCACAGCTGGGCCGGCAGTCCTCTAGGAAAGCGCGCAGCAAAAACATACTCTGCCAGTTGCTGCTTATCAATCACACGGCAGAGCACTGCGCGGCCATCAAACCGATCTCGCGAAAAACCACAAATCCATACATAAGACACACACACACAGAAGAGAGACGTATTCGCGATGCAAGCCATCTGCAATGCACCGAGGTATACAGATTGCCTTCCTTGATGTGCTGTTCGATGTTCCTTAGAACCGGTGAACCGAGGCCTTCGTTTTATTCTCATATATGTGCTGGTGCGTGTGCGGGTGTCGACGACCGGTTGGTCCATGTCGCGACCCATGGGACACTGGGAGACCCAGAACCCCATGCGTCTGTAATCTCTTTTAACTGTCTACAGATCGCATCTTGGTATATCAGGTAGGAACCGTCTTTTCCTATGGTACCAGGGTACGGCCTATAGGCTATCAAACAGTTCACAGACGCACGGGTAATTAACCTTAGGTGTGTTGTGGCACATGATTGAATTCTCTAGGGGGGTTGGGGGTAACGCAGGAGAGGAAGCGAGGGGAACCGGCGCCATGACGGGCCCCAGTGGGTACACTGGACCTCATGCGACTGTGAACTCCGCCAACATGCCTGCCACGTAATGGTCATGTACGGCACATGAGAGCAGCCACGTGCCCTTGTCCACTGCGGATTGAGGAGAGAGGAGGGAGCGTTGAAGGGAGATGGGGGTTAAGACACGCACCACGAGCGAGTGAAGATGGGGGAGGTGGAGTGAGCAGCATAACAGCAGAGCATGGTTTCAGCCACTTCGGCAAACACCCTTGCCCATGTGGTTTCGATCCGACAACATGACCATGCAAATCGACGAGGATGCGTGGACTCCACAGACGCGCACACAAGACGAATGTAAGCGTTATAGCCAATATGTAAGCGTTACAGCCAGCCCCAGACTTGAAGGGAATACACCCCAGGGTAGGGCCATTGGGCACAGAGCTGGGCACATCCACGCCTTAATGTTTCTCATGTCATGTAGTATCCCGGGGGGCGTATCACGGGATCTGCATCCACCGTTCGGTTCTTTTCTAAAAATGTCGTGATATAACACGTCAATACACATGGCGAGAAACACATGGCCTGGTTTGTATTTGCAAAATACGCAGTTCACACATGCAAATGCATGAAGACACGCAAGGAACCCACCCACCTGCGCGCATATCCGCTGCCCTCGCGATTGACGGCATGAGTGAAGCCAAGGTGCTGAAGCCATTAACGTCCACCTGCGAACGGATGTGTACGGCACGTGTCAGGATTGTCGTACGTATCCCCAGGAGGGCAATGTGTCCGTATCCCCAAGGAGCATCGCAGCAACCTCTGATGCGATTTGACAATGTGTACGATACACGTGCATTATTACGCTGTCGTACAATAGTACGGCATGTAGAGCATGGATGATAATAAGCAATCAAAGGCAACATATGGTAAATAAGAAGGCATAAACGAACATATAGAGGAAAATATAATAGAAGTATTTGCTTCAGGGTTAGTTGCAGTAGCAGTACAAAGAGAGCAAAAGAAAACACGTTGTCATGCATCATGCCCCAGGCGGTTCCCAGTGCCGTTCAATGCCGTAGTGCGGTATATACCTAGAAGCTACAGCGAGGGTTGTCCTGTTAAACCTCGAGTAATCCAAGCGCATCGATGGTGGGGGCAATAATCGTGGGTTGTCACCAGCTGCCGCTACCCACCACACCTACCTTGGTGACCTGACCCATGAAGTACGGCGAATGGAAGTCGCCCTCCGTGCCGTACGCAACGAGTAACCACCGCACAGTAGCGCCAGCTGGAATGTTTAGTCCCGGCAGGTTGCAGTACAGGAAACCGTTGATGGAGTGTTTCCTATTGCCCTCCTGCATGTAGTGAACAAGCGGCAGCGACTCAGCAGCGGCCAACGGCAGCGGCTGGTGCCATAGCTCAACTACAATCCCTTACGACAGCGCTTTTCGCAGAATCATTCATATACAGGTGTAACAGCAGCGACAGCATTGCCAAGATAGGATGGTCCCAGCTACAAAGGCTGTAGCAAAACCGACAAACCTGCCTTCGCGAAACGAAGCAAACAACAATATCAAAATATATAACAAATATATCAGCGCACTCTTGTTTGTGAGAACGAGTACGCTGTATCCTGCAATCGACACTCTCACCCATTCCCTCACCCCCATCCCCTCAACACCCCTCAGGCGCCCAACCCAAATGCCCTTTCGCCCCTTTTCTCGGCGGAGGGCGCGGACCCAGGGTTTTTCATTTTGAACGAATGCCCTTGAAAAACGCTATAACAGACACAGACTACAGACAAACGACCCACATGATACACTGCGCTGGTTCCCGCGTCCAGATCTGTCTCGTTGATTTGTGACG